AGCCCAGAGCACTCAGTGCCACCTCCAGGGGACACCTGCAGGGATGGGCACTGCAAAGCTCCCTGGGCAGCCAGTAAACACCAGGATGGCCCTTCAGCTCCCTTCCCTCCCCAGATGCCAGGCAGATCATGAAGCACACCTCACTGGAGGGTAGCTCACCTCCCCAGGGCTGTCCCTGGACACCCACCCATCCCTCCAGCCCCTGCCAGGGGAGGAGAGAGCTCCCACAGGGAATTGTGATGTACCAACACACTCAGGCAGCCCACGAGCCAAACACCACCTGAGCAGGCCAGAGAAACACAAAGTGCTTGTTCTTCACACTCCTCCTGGGATAAGGCTCTGCTGCAGGGCCAGCAGAGCATCCCAGACCCTGCAGCTGCACCACGAGGGATGTCAGGAGGCTCCTTCCCCACACGCTTTCTGCTCCATGCCCTCCTGAGAGCAAAGGATGGAAAGGACAGAGGGATTGCTGCCTTGGACTTCCACGTGGGTGTGTGTATCCCTGCCCCACGGCGGGAAAGGCCAACCCAGAGCCCGGTCTGGAGCAGGAGCTGCAGCTCCCTGCAGCCCCAGCAGCTCCCTGCAGCCTCCTGAGGGAAGGGACCACCCCAGGGCGCAGCAAACATGGAGACAGCTGCTTCCCAAGGGAGCAAATAAATAAATCTAACAAGAAATCACATTAAGGTCCTCCCTCTGATCCAGCTGAGCATTACTCCAAGTTTCTGGGCCAAGCAGGGAAGGGAATGAGCTGGAAGGAGCCAGGAGCCCCCCAGCAGCCCCAGCGCTGCCCAGTCGGCCCCGCTCCTCCTCCTCCTCCACATGAGGCCACTTTGCTGCCAAAACACAATTCTTCCAGCTCTCAGAATGGCAATTCCTCGAGATGAGTTTCATTCCCGATGGAGGCTGAGGCTGAGCAATCCACCAACTGAGCTGGGGAAGAACATGGACTTTTCCCTGGCAGAGCTCTCCAGGTATTCTCACAACGGCTTTGAGTCCCTCACCCAACCCAAAGCTGCTGCTCACAGGTGCAAGCTCTACTCAGTGAGCATGCACCCCTCAAAGGAATTGACAGCAGAATCTCCTTACAAGGCATTTTATCAAAGCAAGGAGGGCACAGCGGGTCACTGTGCCCCATGAACTCCCCCAGACTGCACAAGGACAGAGACCCAGCCTGTTCCACCCTGCAAGACGAGCCATCACTGAGCCCCCACAGCTCCACTGAGGCCAGGTCCTGCTCCCAGGTCAAAAGTCCTCACTGCTGGCTTCAAGCCCAAACCCACCCCTTCCCAAGGCAGAGCTTTTGCAGCAGAGGATTCACTTCTAATGAACCCCTGGGCCCTGGGATGGCAAGGACAGACAGGGCTTGGGCACAGAAATTCCCTTCTCCCCCTCGGGAATCAATGACGGTGACCAGCCTGTGGCTGCAGCCCCCCCTTCCTCAGCCTGACTTTGTCCCACAGGATGCTCCCCGAGTTTAAGGGCAGCTCCAGGTGTTCCAGGCACACAGGAACAGCCCTGGGCACATCCCCCAGCTTTGGACACGACACTGTCAGGATGTGGTTTTAACTTGTGCTTTAAACCACTGAGATAACAGCAAAGATGACTCAAGAAAGGTTGTGATGAAGGAAACAAGACAGGGAACCAGGAGACACGGCAGGAGAAAGGAAGAGGAGCTGCTGTGAAAGAGGAAAAGCTACCAAACCTGTGCCAGCCTTGCACCAGGGTCCAGCCCTCGCCACCCCTGAGGCACGAGCTCCACATCCCCAAAAATGCCTCCACCCAACACACAGCTCAGAGCCCAGCTCTGTGCTGCTGCAGGAAAGAGGGAAAACCCACAGCAGCACCCCTGACCTGCCCCCAGGACAGCAGAACAGGGATCCAACAGGGATCCAACAGGATCCCTGTGCGTGCCAGAGCTCAGGAAGGAACACTGTGCACAAGGAAACAAGGCTCAGGGCACTGCACACTTGCACTTCCACATTACTGCAGGGAGAAGCTGTCACCACCGAGGGAACCAGGGATCAACCACAGCCATCCAAACCCCACCTCTCCACAGTCAGCTTTTCTTGGATCTCCTGCAGCCACACCTGGAAGTGCCCACCTGTGCTAGGCTGCACAGAGGGCAAGCAATTAAAATAAAAACAGCCCTAAATTCCACACACTGGTTACAGGTGATGTGATTTAAGGACGAAGAGCCAGCTGAGCAAGATTAGTAATTTAAATGAGATGAAATTTAAGACACTTGACCCAAACAGTAGGTCACATTTTTGATAGCCCACATAAAACTTGTGTAAAACACTGTCTACAGCCCCAAGGATGTTCTGATAAGGACCAGAAAAAGGACCAAAACCTGGTCGATCAGGGCAACAGCCAGATTACAGCAAATGAGCACAGAGAGATGGGGAAAAAATTCCTGGAAGTCCAGTTTGCCCCTGAGGAGCCTGGTTTGCCCCCTTTTAGGGGGTGTGAAAAGGTCCCAGGCCAGGCTGCAGCCTGACAAATTCGGGCTAAAAATAACCAGGGCGGGTGCAAACAATGCCGTGGGCCCGTCACACATCCTGTGACAGCGGCAGGATCCCAAACCTGGGCTCGGGCAAGGCCAGGGGCTCCTTCTGCCTGGCCTGGCCTCCAAACCCCCACACTGCTGAAATGCCTCCTGTGCTGCGAGTGGAACCAAACTTCAATGGGATCCCGGCAGAAAGGGATTAGAGATCAAAGATTAAGGCCTCAATTGGCCTCTGAGTGAGTCAAAGCCAGGAGAAAATCTGGTTTTCCCCGGGGTTCAGTCACCCACTCTGATTTTCCAGCATGGATAAACACACCCGTTTCAAACCCTTGTTTAAAAATATCTCCCAGGAATAGGGATCATTTCCTAATCCTCGACAAAACCTGCTGATGCCTCCCCTGAGTGTGCAGAGGAACCTCAGCAGCCCAAGTGCTGCAAGCCCAGGCTCCTGCTCTCTGCAAGCACTTCCCTACACTGCCTGAAAAACTTCCCCAGTGCCTACGTTTTAGCATTAAAATCCTGCCATCCTAATTAATTAATAAAAATAAATAAAAAGCACCTTTGCACGTTGGAAAACGTGTCAGTACCGAGCACTTTCACTTTCAATAAACGTCCAACACTCACCTCCGCCTCACACCAAGCAGCCAACACCTTCTGCTTCCAGGGAAAACACCAGGAAAAGCTCTCCTGTGCCGGCTAAGGACATTCGTTCCCTGCTGGGAGCTGGGAGCAACAGCTCAGAGAGCTGCAGCAGCAGCGCAGGGGACACAGGGCAGGGGCAGGGGACGGCAGGGAGCCCTCCCAGCCGGACGGACACGGAGCAGGGCACACCAGTGCCCCCGGCCACGTTCCTGCAGGTGTGGGGCTGCGGCCGCAGCCAGCCCGGAATCCCAGCACGGCCCCGAGTGCCCCGGAGCCAACAGCAGCCGTGCCGGGGCACTGCTGGGGCTGCCTCCGCTCGCCAAGAGCACAGCCAGCAGCTGAATCAGCCGGGCTGCCACACTTCTGCAGGGCCTCCAAAAATAACTGCGCTGCAAATTCCTTGGAGGCACAAACCTTGCTTCACAAGGACTGCGGAGATCCAGTTTCCGTAGCGGAGCACACTGGATGCGAAGGGCCCGAGGGTCCCGGGGCAGGGGACGAGGAGCCCTCGGCCCGGAGGCACCCGGAGCGAGGCACGGAGCCCTTCCCCGGCCGGGACCCGCCGAGCTGCCCGGGGCTCCGCCGCTCCCGGGCCGGCTCCTTGCCCCGCTCCCACCGACCAGCCCCGCGCGGAGCCGAGCCCATCAAACACCAGCAGCCACACATCAGCCCCAGCCCTTCCTGCGCCCGAATCCCCCCGGCTGCAGCCCGGCCCCGGGAGAGCCTGCCGGCGGTGCCGGCACCCGGCGGCTCGGGGCTCCCGGCGCCCGCGGCTGCCCGGAGCCGGCGGTCCGGGCTCACAGCGGGGTTCACGGCCAGCTCCAGCTGACCTCGGGCACCGCCACAAGGACACAGAGCCCACGGAGGTGCCACCAGCGCGGCCACAGCGGGGACAAACGCACGGGGAGCCGGCGGCTCGGCCGCGCTGCCCCTCGGCTC